CGACATACAGCCAGGCAGGAATATATCATCTGTGCCTGGATAAAACAACCTCGTATGGTACATACTGTGTACAGAAGGACAGAAAGCATAACCACGCTCGCGGAAGGCATTTCCACACCATAACGAACACCAGCGAACTCTACAGCCCTGCTAGCAAACAACAAGCCATACCACAGATATGCTCCTCGTCCAGCCGCCAGGCATGCCGAGGGTACGGTAGCGGATCTGTGGGGTTCCTGCGCCACGCCGAGGACAAGCTGTGCGGTCTCCTGAATCCAGCTTCCTGCGGCAGATCCGCCACAGCGGCAGCGAACCGCCCTGTGTGGCGTCCCTTCGGGCACCGCCCAAGAGGCCGTCTTCACCTCATGAATCACAAGAGGAACAGATGTCGATGCCGCTGCTCGTCCTGGATAGGCCTCCACTCCACGTCTGCATTCTCCTCGGAAACTCACAACTGCCGCGCCCCTCGACACGCAGCCGGCCTCACTCCCCCACCCCCTCCCCACTCCCGCTCCACCCTCGCCCCCGCCGCCCTCCACCCCCCCCCTTCGCCTGACCCCGCTGCCCACCGCCCAAGAAGAGGGGGAACGACAGAGGGGGACTGGCCGAGGGGGGAACACCGCCCTGGGATCGGCGACACATCGACGATGCATCGGAGAACGGCCCCCGACAGCGAATCCACGCGGTCCTGGGCGGGGCAGGCATCGGACCCCTATCGACAATCAATGGCCGATTGGGAGTCGATGTTCCCCCCCCGACCCTATCTCCCCCCAACGTTGACCACTGGGTTGCAGGTCATGCGGCGCGCGGCCGCTGGAAGGCACCCCGAGGCTGGAAAGCCGCCGAGAAGCCTCGAAACGGCCCGAAGACCTCGGACCTCCAACCTCCCCTGGACCCCCCCCCCCGCCAAGCGTTGCCCCTCACCGCCGAGCGCTGCGGCCCCCGCCGCCTCCTGCAGCCAGCGGCCCGGCCGCCCCGCTGCACCGCGGCCCTGGCCGAGCGGGCAGGGCAACGGCGCTAAGAGGAACGGCGGCGTACGTCGCGCCGCTCGCCTCGCACCCCCTTCGTGGAGTTGAGGGCAAGAGTTGTACCCGTGTTCGCTGCGCGTTGGAGAGTCTCGGGTTCCGGAACCCACACTCCAGAGGAACGAGCGATATGGATAAAGATCTGGCCCCTCAGGAGGGGCTATAGTTCCATCCACATTATCTGCGCCTTTGCCTTTTTGCGCCCCTTCGCGAGGAAGCCCAATGCGCAGCGGATATGGGCAAATTCTTGCCCGCAATAGTGGCCTGTGCACTCCGGGGGGCCTGGGACGTCTGGGCGAGTGCACTGTGCATTCGCGGCGCTCGAACAGAATTCGAAACTCGGGAGCAGGGCTGGGGGCCCCAGGACGGGTCCAGGACAGGGACACGATGTTGTGGACGCCATGACAAAGGACACTCTCTAACAGTCCGACCACGGAATCAGTGATGCTCTAGATCTCAACCCTGGGGGTGCTCAGAACATCTTCGAACAATGCGCCATCGAATGCGTTCAGCGATCCCCGCGCGTGGGCGGCCCTTCTGGGAAACGTCGACTGGGGAGTCGCATGGGGGGCCCAACGGGGGGTGCTGCGGGGGAGTCCCACGGGAGAGCCCGATCGGCGAATCACACAGGAGACTCCTGTTGGGGAGCCCAAGCACTCTGGGGAAATCCCGTGGGGAAGTCCGATGGCGGAGCCCCTGTGCGGGACTGCCCTGGGGGAGTGCCCTGGGGGAGTCCTATATGGGGAAGTCCTGCAGGGGGGTCCTGTGGAAGGGCCCCGTGGGGGATCCTGTTGGAGTCCCGCGAAGAAGGGCTGAGGCTGGGCGTCGGGAAGGGCGTCGGGGAGGGCGCACGAGGAATTCAAACGGGGATTCTACGGTCGGAGGCCCACGAGGACGCCCACGCGGGGGAGGGGCCCGGCGGGGCCCGCGGGGCGCCCCCCGCGCGGAGCGGGGGGGGCCCAGCAAGGCGACGCGCGGCGCTGCGGCGAGGGGGCGCCGCCGAGACCAAACGGACACGGCGACGCCACTCGAGGCCTTCGACAAGGCCTTTTTTTTGTTTACCGGTTTCGTTTTGCCGTTTTTGTTGTCGGTTCCGACAATGTTTTTGTCACCGGTTCCGTCGCCGTTTCTTTACGGGTTCCCGCTCCGGTTCCAAGCCTGGGGCCGTTTTTGCTGCCGTTTCCGGTCGCTTTTTTTGCCGTTTCCACTGTCAAGGGGCACTTTTTTTTGAAACGGTGCAAAAACGGCCCTGCCGTTTCCGGGGCCCACTAAGGTCGAGGCCATCGTCTCCATGCAGACCTCCCTGAACAAGCTAGTCTCAGAGATTGGCACCACCTCTGCACCGTCGGCTCCGCCACCCGAGCCGAGCACTGCGGGGCGGGGGGCGCCTCCACCGAAGGGGCGCCAGAAAGAGCCGCGGGCTCGCAGGGGAACGACGGCGCCCCTGAACGAGCTGGGCGTCGGCAGCCACGCGCCCACTACGGGGGGGGCACCCGCAAGTTGAGCGAGGCGATGGCCAAGTGAGGGAGCGGCAGCGCCACTCCTCCGACGGCTGCGGCGACCCTGCGTAACCACGCGGGCGCGGAGGCCACCAATGCCAACGCCAATTCGTTCGTTCGCTTGGCGCGGGCGCCCTGGAGCGCGGCCCCCGCTTGGCCAGCAACGACTATGAGGTCTAAAGTTTTGGGCGCTCCTAACGCGGCAGTGGCGGTGCGAGAGCACGGGGCCGCCGCGCGCAGGCTGCAGGCGACGGCGTCAACAAATGTTGCACGCACCTGCGCCGCGCTCCACAGCAGTTCAGCTTGGGAAGACCTCGAGAGGGGGGGCGTGATCGCCCTGGCCCTATCGGGGGCCGCCGCGCCCGCCTTCGCCCAGACCGAATACGTCGGGGCCCAGGCGCCGCAGTTGCGCGGGGCGCCCCAAGCTCGTCAGGGGACACGTCGGCGAGGCGCTCGGGGAGACCGAAGCGCATGCGGGGACCTGGCCAAACCCACCATCAAAACAAATAGCGCAGTGGACCCTGGATCCCAAATGGCATATACGATCTTGGCCAAGCAATCGGACAAGAACTCCTTTCTGCTGGCAACTCTGCCACCATGCGTCTTCTTCAATTCCCAAGGACCGGAAGACTTCCCTGCGTGGCATACGCAGTTAAATGCTGAAGCGGAGCGCGCCCACCACATGAGAGCAAGGCCTCGCTGGGCGTGCTGGGCGCGCTGGGCGGCAACGTCGCGGCGGGCTCGATCGCTCCGCGATTGCGTCTGCACCAGGCGCCAGAGGTGAGGGCGCATGCAGAACACTTACTTGATGGCGAAGGCGACGGCCCGCGGACAGACGGTTTTTCCGGCGCCCGCCGAGCTGGGCGACGTCGCTGGCTCCTCCGGGCCAACCTGCCAGACGAGCTCCCCACGAACGACGAGGTGATGACCCTCGCGAGTGGGTGAGTGCTCTCCCCGGCGCTGCCAGGGCCCCCAAAACGCGCCGAACCCGAACGACGACCCAGTTAGGCATCGAAAACGGTTCAGCATCGAAAACCGTCAGCGGACAAGGCTAATATCGACAATCCCAGCGACACCGATGATGCCATGGGCGCCGCGCCCACTGGTGGCGTCGCCACCGCCGCAACGGGCGGCGGCGCAGCTGCCGCCGCTAACGGGGGGCAAAAGGAAGGGGGCAAAAATGCTGCTGGCACTTCGCCTCGGGCGCCTCCTCATTGGCAAGCTCGGAAAGAAGTGGCGCCCCCATGGGCCCAATATTTTGCTTGGAAAGATCATGGCCCTGGCGGGGGCTGCCTCTATCTTTCGAGAGGGGCGGGCATCGAGATGCCCGCCCCTGGCAAGGCCTTTGCCGAGGCGGACGCGAAGCCAGGGGGCGAAGCGCAGGGCTCCACGCGCATCTGCGCATCCTCCGAGCTGAAAAAAGATCCGGAACAAAATGCCTTAAGATGGAGGGCGCCGAACAAGCGGCAGCTCGGGCCAATGCCGCCGGCGTCTGGGCGGGCCCCCTCTGCGCCCGCGCGGCCGCAGCCGCCTGCGAGACTGATCTCGGCATCTGGGAACTTTCGGGCTCTCAGTGGACCTTCTGCCCCCCCGAACGCAACCCGCGCACGGGACAAGGGGCGCAAGATCGCGCGGCTCAACCTCGCCATCCAACAGCACCAGCTCGTGAAGGCCCCTGCCCCGCCACCCATGGAGTAGGAGAAGGCTTGGCGCGACCGCGCCCCAGCGGGCCCGGAGAACTCCGCCTTCGTCCTGACTGACGGGGGTGGCGACGCACGTCCGGGCACCTCCTCGGCGGCGGCGCCTGCACGAGCCTTCCCGGGCACGCGCGGGGCCGCGCGCGGCCGCCGGCGGGCGCGACACTTTACGGCCGCCGGCGGAAGCGACGCTCTACGACGCCCCGACAGTCAGCTCTCCAGCAAGCAGCCAGCGCCCCTCAGCGAAATTCGCTAGGGCACAAGGTTTCTTGGGCGTCAGAGCCGGGGGTGGCGACGACGCCGACGTCGACGACAGCGACGCCATGCACGTCGAGAGTGGCGATCACCTGCGTGCGCGGGTGGAAGCCTCCTCCGCGCGTCACGGGCAAGGGCTCCGAGCAGTACGCCACGGCGGTCAAACACTGGCGCGCCCGCCAGGGTCGCCGCACACCGGCGGCCGCGGGCGCCCGCCAGGAGGGGGCCCGGGGTCTTGCTCGAACCGCGCAGGCGCAGGGCAACCGGGTGCAGGGCCTACAGGCGCACGACGAATGCGTCGCACAGCTCCCCTCTCAGCACCGAGGCGCCGAGTGCTCGCTGACCGAGAATTCCCGTCTCAAGCGCAGGCCTTGGTCGGGTGCCAACTGCCAGCAGTGCCTGTGCGATCGCCGTGGGACCTACTAGACTTCCGGAGGCGCCCGCAAGTGCCCTTGCCGCGCTCGCACCACACCAACAAGTCCAAGCTGTCACGGGACGTCATGACCAAGTGGGGCGGCGCCGAGTTCGCCCAGGATTGGCGGGGCCGGCTCAGCGCCGCTCATCGCCGCCAGGAGCAGGACCCTGCCATGCGTGCACGACACAATGCGTTCGCTAAGATCCATGGCCGCGACCGGGAGACGCTCCGAGGCACTCGAGCGGCCCGCAGCCGCGGCCTCCAGCAGCGCGGGGGCAGGCGCTAGGTCGCCGTGGCCTGGCAGGATCCGCCCCCAGGGGGGTGCGACTCCGAGTTGGACAACCCCCCGGGCCATCCCGAGACGCAGGACTTTCAAGCGCAGATGAGAAGCCAGCGGCGTCATCTACGCCCGCATCGTTCCAAGCGCGCACAATCAGCGTCGCGTCGCTGACGCGGGAGCGGGCCGTCGCGATTGCCTCCTCGAAGCAGGCGCTGCGGGCCTCGACCGTGACGCGGCAAGAGGCGCGACGCGATGATGCGCGGCCCCCGTGGGCCATCAAGCCCGCTGTCAAGCGCGGCTGTGGGGGGGGGGCACTTTTTCCTGCGCCTCCGCCCAGGGCGGGGCGCGTGCAAACTCGCCAGGGCGGGGCTGCCATTCTCCGACCTCCAGAATTTGATCATCGTCTGGTGGGCACTCGTTGTGCCGCTGCCAGCCTTGAATCGATATACGGACCCCAGTAGGTCGACCACTCTTTCATATGACGCGCCATCGAGTGCTGCCGGATGCCGGGAAGAGACGGGCGCCCCGCCTGCGCGCTGGGCGACATGGATTGCAAACAGCCCCACGATGCCCTTCTGCTCCGGGTGGGCCGCCGCCGCAGACGCACCTGCGGCAAAGGCAGGGGCCTCTCCGGCACGGGCATTGCTGTTCACTGAACAAGACGCACTGGGACCCTAGCTGGTTGACGCGCGCTTCCTCCCTGGCGCGCCTCACCGCGGTCAGGTCGCCGCTGCCAGCGCCTTCGCGCCACTCCCTCGGCGCGCCAGCCAACGGCGGCACTGCGCCGGCTTGGGCGAGGGCGACGTCGACCCCGAAGGCG